AGCAGCATCCGCAACGTGTCCTGGGCCTGGTGCTGCGTGCGACATTTCTCGGCACCCGCGCCGAACTCGAATGGGCTTTCCTCGGCGGGCTGCGGACGCTCTATCCCGCCCTCAACGACGACTTCCTGAGCCTGCTGCCGGCTGAAGAGCGCGCACAGCCGCTCGACGCCTACTGGCGCCGCATCCTCGATCCCGATCCCGCCGTGCATACGCCCGCGGCCCGTGCCTGGCACGACACCGAACGCATCCTGTCGGAACACAAGCCCGGCCGCACCCGGCTCGATCTCGATGCGATCCGAACCAGCACGCGCCCGCTGCCCTCGACGCCGTTCATGGAGGCGCACTACTTCCAGAACCATTGCTTCTTCACCCCCGGGCAACTGCTGGCGCAAGCCGGCAAGCTGCGCGGCATTCGCGGCATCATTGTGCAGGGACGCTACGACCTGCTGTGCCCGCCAGCGACGTCGCATGCACTGGCCGCGGTGTGGCCCGAGGCCGAACTGCGTATCGTCGAGACCGCTGGCCACTCCCTGTACGATCCCGGCATCACCGACGCCGTCACCACGGCGATTGCCGATCTGATCGGCGCCAAATAGCGGCGGAGGCTATCCCTGCCTGGGGCTGATCTTCCAGGTCGCGGCCAACATGGCCGCGGTGAGCATCCCCGTGATGATCGCAAGGATCGGAACCGCGAGCGCGAGCCCGGACGTCGCAGCCCATCCGATTGACGCAAATGCCTCGGCGAATGTCGCCAGCCGTGACGACGTCTGACGGCGACGAAACTGGCTGCGACGCGCCTGCACGCGGAACCAGAGTTGAATGGCCGTGGCTGACATCGCCGAGATCATCACGCCAACGGCGGTGACGGCGGCCTGCACCGGCGCGACGAACGCCAGCGGAATGACCAGCGGAGCGCACACCGCGCCGATGACAATCAGGACGACCTCGATTTTGGCGCGGGTCACCTGCCGGCCCGGCAGCGGCGCCGTGGCGACGAGATCGGCGGCGTCTTCGCCCGATATCGTCAGCCAGGCCAGACCTCCGGCCAGTTGGCCCGCGGCCATGACGATCACCGGCGTGATCAGCACGATCGCGACGGAGCTGTCGGCGAAACTGCGCCACAACATCAACGCCGGCGGCAACAGGTAAAGCAACTGCATCAGCGTCTGCGACACCAGCCAGGGGTCGCGGCGAAGCAGCAGAAGCTCCTTCCAGCGCAGCGCCTGCTGACGCGACATCGTGTGGAAACGCCGGCCCGCATCAGCGCGAGGCCCCGCCGGCACTGCCGCCGCGGAGGCCTTGATGACGTCATCGCCGAGACGCGGCGCGAACACCGCAATGGTGACACCCAGCAGGATGAGACTGCCGGCAAGCAAGGACAGCAGCGCCGTGCCATCACCAAGCAAGGCCTTCACCGGCCACCAGACCGGGCTGTCCATCTCGGGTGCGATCGACAGAGCAGCATCCGAGGTCAGAACGGAAAAGCGCGACAGCGTGCCGGTGGACAGGATCGCTGCAACCTGCAGCCCGATGACGAATCCCGCACCGATCACTGCCGCCATGATCTGCGCCACGAACCGCGTCTGTTTCGGACCGATGATCCGGAACAAAACGATGGTCAGGGATATCGCAACGGCCGCCGCCGAAATCCCGATGGCGGCGACAATGCCGAACGCCG